AAACATTGTAAAATACGTTCAAAACGAACATACCCCATAAAGAATTTTACGCCATAAAATAAAAACATATCCTAGGTTTATCTGAACGACATGTGGTTTCATTCATACCGCTTTGTACAGTTGTGAAAGGTAAGTAACACAAACACATAAACTAAAATCACACATTAGACTCCACACACTAACTTATTGTAGACTCTACAGTGTCACTACAACGTTATCGTAGTGGTGATGGTAAGCTTATGTTCAAGGTAAACGGGACTAACAAGCATACTGTATTCATTCTATATTTACCCGAATCGTCGAGGAACCTGAGGTAGTGTCATATTATTCCCAGTAAGACAGTTACATGAGTTCTACCACCTAAATCGAATGGGCGGACGATGTCCTCCCAAAGATTGTGGGTGAGATAATTAGCGGATGGTATGAAATGTAGTGAGTTTGTACGTCACCCGGAGTCGTCCTACACCCTGGAGCAGTAGGCTGCTTTCGACGGAGTATAGTGTACAGACGAGTTAATCCGGGTTACCTAGTCATTCCACGTACACCTGTTAGGCCCGAGTGGCACAAAAGCGTTCGATTTATATCGTCAAGTGGTGTTGGAGTTACTCAGACCATGTGTCTGATGGGCCCTAAGGAAAACTTACTTCACCTCCATTCCGCTACCCTCTGTATCGGTATGAAGGACAAACTTACCTTATGAAGTTGAGGAATCTCTCCACACCCAATCCCTCCCTAAGCCTTGTAGACAACCACTCCGGGGGTGTAAAAGACGAAAAATTCAGTCGTGACTCACCTACTCCGCCTGACTCACTAAAAGTACAAAAAGAAAATGAATGATTGTCTGTCTTCCCTTAAGGCACGGAATTTACTGGTTCTTTATGGTATAAATAAAAAGAATTCCACATTCCAGACTACTTTAGCGCACTCGATAGATGTAGTGTACTATCACCACCACCCATAAAGTGACTGTGTACAGGAGTCGTACGACTTGTACAACACTCCACACTCTCTCCTTATACGCTACGCCCTACATAAAAGAGCTCGTCGTACTGAGTGAGAGTTAGCGAAGGAATAAGGAGTCCCCGGAAACTTCGGATACGGCCCTTGTTTTGAGGGTTGTACAGCCGGACAGGTCAAGCAAATCTTTGGTACGAAATATAATCCGTACTCAAATGTCATTTGTTTCTGTATTACGGATCATACTTCATATGAATCTACCATAGCCCTTTTTCCACTTTAACTAATTAGTACTTTTGATCGTCTGGAACGAGACACACAAAATCACCTTTCAAACTCAGTTGTCACACACACTTACACTTGTGACCCTACTGAAAAGAGCAGTGGTGTCACTGTTTAGTCACTAAATTAGAACCGCGAACAACACAGAGACACACACGACACGACACGACACGACGGGTGGCCTCTATTCAGCTGCTGTCCCTCTGGTTGGACGAGAAGTACTTCAAAACACTTGCGTAAAACAAAAAGAGAGATTCACTATTATATCATTCTCCTGTTCATGCTCTCTGTTTTTCACCCAACCTGTTGTGTCCTGCCCAAACCCACCCAGGTACATTGTTCGGTGCACAACAAAACAGAGAAGGTAAATGACCAGGTAAGGGAATAAACTTGTTCCTCTTGCGAAAAAAGACTGCAGTCTTAGACTATATTAATCGAAAAATCACAGTAATCCAACTCAATATTTAGTTAAGACGCGTTTTCCCCTTTTACGTTCTTTGGAAGAGTATAATACATGGAATAGACAATAGGAATCTATGGGACACCTAGAAAACAACTAAACAATAAAAGCAGACAATAACATTGGTTTACGACATTAAAACCCGAGGATGATTTTAACTAAATGTAAAGAAATTAAGGGAACGAGTACCTAACGGAGGTCATAGAGGGCAATTACGATATAGTTCCCAGTTACTATCCTTAATACATAAAGAAGAGAACACTGACGTACCTATTTGTATGACAATTGTCACCGATCCACTACATAAATCTACAGAAAAGAGTAAATTAAAACATACTTGATATAAAATACTTCAAGTAAGTAAGAAAACAGTGAAGAAAGGTGTCTCTACTACAGTGACACTCTTGGACACGGCACGAAGAGGAAAAAAGACTAACGGAGCGAGAGGGAGTGATAGGTTGGAGAAGTGAGTACGATGGAAGATGATGGGCGAGCGCGGAGCTGAGCCTATTATAAGGACTGACCTAAGCCGAGTCTTCACTGCTACTGCAATACTTTTTGGGTCCAGGGAAGTTCACACACTTTAGACACGTTTTGGGGACCAGTCCGTGGCTTCGAGAGGTAAGGCCTGAAGACGAACAACCTTAGTTCCTCCGGGACACTGGTCCTAGTCGTTTCGACCCACGAGACAGGTCCCAGTCACCCCCTCCTAGTCGGAGGAAGTAAGCGGTGCGTAGTTCTCCGACCACGGGGAGCTCCCCCCCCTGTCTCCCTTTTACTCTAGTCCACCACACGAGGCAGAAGACGACTACTGACCCCATGTTGCACCACTATCTCCCTCCAGGACTCAAATCCTACCAAAGGTCTGCTTGTTCCAAACCCAGTCTAGATACCTGCCATATACCCTTAGGACTCCAGTTTAAATTATGGAAAGACAAAATTCTGGAAAACAATTCGGGAAAGCGTATGGTAAAAATCGGATAGCGTTCACCAAGATTGGCCAATGTAAACCGTGGTGTGAAATGGAGTGAAAATGATATAACCTAACTATTACTATCGTTTGGATTTTGTCTACGTCTGCTGATGACTCGGGGAGGAAAGGTTACTGAAGTTGAGAGACACATTCCAGTCCCAAATTACGTCATACGAAAAACGGAAAAAACGAGAGACATCTGAGAACATCGAGAAAGCTAAGGTCATTTGAGGAGTCTTTGGTAATCTTTGTCCATACAACTGGTTGATTGTTTGTAACTGTTTGAAACTTGGCTAAACTTATACAATTTGAACACTGAAAGTCGCCTCGCAATTACGGTATATCCTCGCAGGGAGAGTTTATGGTCTCAATTGAACCCGCCCGACAGGCCCCGACTTTCGGACCCGTTAATCCTGCTACGCAGACTGCAGTAACTGGGAGTGTCGTATAACAGTATTACAAATGTGTTTTTCCTTATAACACCACCTGAGATCAATTTGGTATTAAGGTGAAAACCCAATGTCAAGGATGTGCCTGGAACAAACCACATTGTGGCCCCATTAAATCCAACGGTGCGAGCTCGATCGTCGTGAGAGTTCGAACTGACGAGTAGGGACCCGTGTACAGAACTTAGAAGAATCCGAAACTACCCTTTTATTTCTCACCTTAACGGTAGAATTTGAGAGGCGGACGGCTGGAAAATGGCCGTGATGTATAATTACCAATCTGAAAAGAGCAAGAAGCCACCCTATATCCTGATATAAATCCGACTATACAAACTGAGAGAGGAAGAATTGTTATCGTCTAGAGATTTTACACTTCCAGCGTGTGAAGATATCAGACGAGAGAGAGAGGGAGCGCCTAATCGGTTGTTTAGTCTCCGGCGGATGTTGCAGACTGCGTGACGGGACGACACGGTGTAGACGTTTTCACAGGTTGATGATCCGTATTTGGCACCAAGCAGCAAAAGTAAATACATGGTTGTAGTCTATAGGCTGTCTCTAGTGACACGGGTTTACATTTACAGGAGAACTAGGCGGTGCCTGCCTGTTTATTCCTGGAAGAATACAGAACAGAATGAGACATTTAACGTTTACAGGTTGGGGTTTATTCGCTGAAGTTCACGCTCAGACTTCGGCTGCAAGCAGCGTGTAGGAGGATAGTCTGGGACCCTCTGTGTTGCACATTTTGACTGATAGCCAATCAAATCTGTTATTCAAATCGGTGCTCTTATGTCAGTGACCTATATCTCATGCATGTGCGCCAAGAGCCCACAATAACCTCTCCACCAGACCAGACCAGACAGCATGGGGATCGACGGGCTAGACCAGGGGTGTCAAACTCAATTTCATACCGGGCCACATCAGCATTATGGTTGCACTCAA